TCTTCGATGGCCGCGCTCCAGGGCTGGCGGCACACACGTGTGAGGCCGTCGCTGCCTGTGCCGTGGAGTGCGGGGCGGGGCGGCGCGGCGTTGAGAGCAGGGCCAGGGATCATCGATGGCTGCACCACCTCCGTGCCCCCCCGCCCGGGGTTGCCAACTCTTGTTAGGCTCCTCTGGGAGGTTTCCCGAATGCCACGTGCCCGCGGCACACCCGCAACCCTGCCCGCCTGCGGCAGTTACAGAGCACGGTGCACGGGCTTTACGTCAGGAAGGCAAATGCACGTGACTATTACATTTAAAATACCCACTGGACTACTGTATAAATCAGGTTCAACATTTAATGTTTATTTTAATGAATGCCCTATCACTTTTCTCCCGGGTGACTCATCATCTCCCGGCGGTTTATACCTAATTCCTGGAGACGCCGGGGCAATCCTGGAGGGGCGGCAACCCTACCCTTGTACTCGGCAGGGTAAGAAATGGCTGCACCGCCGCAGCACCAGCCTCACTGCTCTGAGGGCTGACACTGCATTAAACCGCCCAGTTTGCAAGGCCCAGGCCCCCGTTTCTGGCATCCCTTCTACAAGCTGTCTCCAGCAGGGATGAGAAGGGCACTCGAGGAGATGAATATGTGGCACCCCAGCCTAAAAGGCTGTCACTGCTCCTTCTCTGGCCCTGCAGAGCACGGGGAGGTGCATTCCCTAGTCAAGAACGCACTTACTTTTCATCTTCCAGGGGGGGGACGGGAGGACTTTTTTTCAAGGAACATATATATAAATGAACTTCCTCAGCAAGTTTTCAAAAGGAAAGTAAGCATTGTAACTGAGCGATTAAAGACAGCTTGAAAGTGTCTGCTACAAGGAGCACAGAACTCAGTAGCATAGAAGCATCTCCCCGACTCCAAAGAAATGGAGATTTCACCTCTAGGCCTGAACAAAGCATAGGTATGAACCACACAGCAAGTGTCAAACTACATGGCAAAAAGAAGAGACTCCATATACATAGATACTTACACAGATGACAATTAAGATGTTGGGTGGACACCTAAGGAAGGGACAGAAGCTGCAATCCATCAATGGATCATAAGTTAAAAATGCATAAAAAAGAAGAGACTCAAGGAGAGAAAGCAATGAAGGGGCAGCATAGCCTCAGGACTTGCTTTCCACCAGCACCTTATAGTTAAATCACATCTGAAGGGCATTGAAGTTGAGGCCATTAACACACTGCCTGCTCATAACCAGAACAGGTCTCCCCCAGCTTCACAAGAGTAACTTTTAGAATACTACAATTATGAAAATGATAATTGCAGTACTTACTTTCTTATGAAAGCTAATATTCAAATGAATTACTAGTCTGGTAGCTGAAAGGGTAGACTTATTTAATTGCCCATGGATCCATTTCACAGGATGGAGAAAGAAACCATTCAATGTTCATTCTTCGTAGCACTAAGAAGGAGGAGATGAAGCCCTGCTGTAATTTGCTGAGTGAATACAGGCAGAAATTACATGCTCATGTGAACTGAGCCCTTAATAAAAAAGGTTTTTAGATTAATCAGCCATGGTGGCAGTATACAGTCATATAATTTTAATATCAATCTGGTCTGAGGAAGACTAAGGATTAGGGGATTTGGAAAAGAATAAAAATTGAATGGAAATAAAGACGCATTTAAGTACTTGTGCACCTGATCATGCTACAGAGGTCAGGTTAGGAACTGTTTATAACATTTTATTACATGTGTACCTTTTTCCTCTTTTCTAGATTAAGCTAGTCTCTTGTTCATGTTGAAATTTAAGTTTCACATATATGCAAACACGCAACATGGACCTAGAAAAAGTGCAGATTGAATGAAGCTTCTTATAAGCAGAAGCTGCCCTCAAGTTAAATAATTTTTAACAGTAAAGTCAAGTCAAAATATTCCATTTTTAAATAAACATTGACATTATGTTGCAACAGAAAACAACGGAAAAAAACCCCACACAATTTTTTTTTTAAAGATGCTCTAAGTTCTGGGCTTTTGTTTTATTAATTAAATGGTTTGAAAAAAAAATTGGCAGGAGGGAATCCCTACACATCTATATAAATTGGTAGGTTTCAGTTTCGTCAGAACAAATTCATGATGAAAAGTTGTTTTGGCAAGACAAGCTTTTCATCTTCCACAGAAGGCTTATTTTGCACCCACAGCCACCACAGTGGCTAGTTTGTGTTGGTGCCAGTTTACCTAGCACCACTTTAATGAAAGCCTGAGGGTCCTTCCATTAGAGTGAAGTTTCTGCTCCCTAGAACATAGTGCCTCTTAGTGTGCAAGCCTAATTCAGCCGTGTGTTGTTGTTTATTCTGGGTCCATGATTCTGAGGACACAATTGGGTTAAGTAGCTTCATTGCTGTTGGCAGTATAGCAGCAGTGGGTGTTGAAGACCCTCAGTTTGTTACAATGATATTTCTTTTCAGCCTCACCTTTGCTACCAGATGCTTAAGTGCAACATCTGTTCAAAAGAGCAATCAATAAGGACAGCCATTTTGATCATCTCTTCCAGACCTCCACTAAAATGCAGCAATTGCTCCACCAGCCCTGGTTTGAGCCCTGCATAGGTCAACTTGCATACAAGGCTTTCTACACCGAACACTTAGAGATGTGGCTCTTCCCTCAGGCAGAACAGGCAGGGACTATTCTTGTCAACCAGGGAATGAGTCAGCTGCTAGTTCAGGGGTGGGCAAAGAATGGCCTAGCAGGGGCTGCATTATCTGGCTTGCAGGGCCCCTAAAAAATTAGAAAATTAATATTCATCTTCCCCTGGCTGCCTGTCACGTGGCCCTTGATGGCTTGTCAAAACTCAGTCAGCGGCCCTCTGCCCGAAATAATTGCCCGCCCCTGTGCTAGTTACATAAGGTGTGAACCTTGAGGACTTAACCTGCTTCTTGTCAGCTATCATAGTAGCCTTTTGTTCTTTGCACAGAGAGGTGTGTCTTTCTGGAAAGAAATAAAGAGGTAAAGGAGATGGAGATTTTCTTCATACACTTAGCTGAGAAAATCAGTTTGAAGCTCAGACATAACAAAGAAAACAGGCAGGGTTATGGCTGCTCCACCCTTTACACACACACACAGAAGAGCATAAGGTAGCACATGGATGCTTCAGTTTACATGGATACCAAGAAAAGTGGTATGCCACGCATTTTCTCGTGCACCCCTACATTCAGATCCAAGCCAAAGCACATATTCTAAAAAGACTTCTGGAGGGAGCTAATTCTTAGAGGTGTTTTTAAAAGTCCTCTTCCTCACTTAACAGCACAAAATAGAGACATACTTCCAGTGTGAAGATACTAGCACAGACCCCACATCATTACAAATAGACTCCCCCAGCCTCCCTCAAGGCAGAGTAAGGTCCAGTGTCTTATATGCATATCCATCCTATGGCTTATGTCCCCTCCCCCACCTCCAAACAACAGCAAAAAACCGCCTTCTTTCATCTCTCCATTGCAGAGGGCTTCTGTCTTCAGGACTTTCTCTAGGTACAGATAGTAGTCATGATTGGTAACTGATAAAGATACTAACTCTCAAATTACTGTCCTACAAAATGAGAACTAAGATATAGTGCCAATATTTTCTCAACCCAATGACAGTTTCTTGTCATTATTGAGGTTTTATTCTCTCACAGGATTGTAGGCTGTGTAGCCACATGAATCTTAGCAATTCAGGAATTTATAGCCTTTGAGTAAAGATAACTTATTAATTAATTAGTCTGAATGGCTATAAGATACATTACCTTGAAAGGTCACATGCTGAGAAGATCCCAAATGAGATTTGTTGCTTTTAGGGAAGGGAAACACACAACCAAAATCCACTCCTAAATGTAGAAAAGGTTCCTTGGGTGAATTTGATATCTTTTATTAGACCAACCCAAATGGTTGGAGAATAGTTATTAAGCAAGCTTTCGGGTTCAAAAACCCTTCGTCAGGCTCAGGAAGCTGCAGCAGTTGGTGTGTGCTTTTCCTGGATGGAATGAAAAGTAAAGAAGCCAGGGGCTGGGCTGGGCTGGGGAGTCAGTTGCCAGGCAGATTATAATGTATCAAAAATCCAATGTCTATGTTTAGTCCCTGATCTCTAGTATCCAGCAGGTTGATGAAATGGAGCTCATAGGCTCGTCTCTGGGATGTGTTGTGTAAATTTCCCTTGAGGATCAGGACTGAGAGATTGGAGAGAGAGTGGCCCTCCTGTGAGAAATGTGCCCCCACCGGTAATTGGGTGTTTCTGTCTTTGATGGATTTCCGGTGTGCATTCATTCTGGTGCGCAGTTGTTGTCTGGTCTCTCCTACATATCTTCCATCAGGGCATTTGGTGCATTGGATGAGGTATACTACATTCCTGGAGGTGCAGCTGTAAGATCCTGGGATGCTGATGGCTGTGTTGTGGGGTGTAGTAATAGTGGGGGTGGTGGAGATGTGGGGGCAGGTTTTGCATTTCTTGTCATGGCACGGTCTGGATCCTTTTGGTGTGTTCTGGGGTTGAGGAAGTTTGCTTCTGGTGATGAGGTTGGCGAGGTTTGGTGCTTGTCTGAAGGCTAGGATGGGTTGCACATTAAGAAAATTGCATAAAATATAACGCCGTGCATTGAACTTGGATCAAAAACCAAGTAATCGCCAATAGTTTGGGGGGGGGGAATAGCTAATGCTTATTCGTAGTTTTTACCCAAGCTAACTTTTTTTTTTTTTTTTTAAGGCCATCAAAGTTGGACCGTTTTATAATACTGTTTTTCTGTGTTTTTGTTTTGAAAACGCGCTTGCACGTTTTCTTTTTCTGTGAAAGAATATGCTGTAATATTCAGGCTTACTTAGATGCTCAGTCTCAGGCTCGTTCACAGCTTGACTGATCCTTGTGTCTAAAAAGGGGATGTTGGTGTTGGAGTATTCTAAAGAAAGTCGGATGGAGGGATGGTGACTGTTGAATTTCTGATGGAACTCAATCAGAGATTGCAGGTTCTCAGTCCAAATGATGAAGATGTCATCGATGTATCTTAAGTATAGCAAGGGTTTGATGGTGCAGTCTTTGAGGAATTCTTCTTCCAGGTGGCTCATAAAAAGGTTGGCATACTGTGGGGCCATTTTAGTGCCCATAGCTGTTCCCATCATCTGGAGGAAGTGTTGATTATTAAAAGTGAAATTGTTGTGTGTGAGGATGAAGTGTATAAGCTCAGTGATATCTTTGGGTCTGTATTCTGGGTTGTAATCTTGTTCCTGTAGATATGTAAGGCAGGCATGGATGTCATCCTGGTGTGGGATGTTGGTGTATAGGCTGGTTGGTCTAATAAAAGATATCAAATTCACCCAAGGAACCTTGTCTGCCTATATCCTTAGACCAACACGGCTACAACCTAAACCCCTAAATGTAAGTGTTCATAAAAAGCAAAAACCTGTTTCAGTTAGTAATAGACAGGGTTGATGTAGTTAAACCAAAGCATGGCAGTTTTAAGTTCATTAGATGAATATTAGTCAATAATGAAAGCATTTTGTGAGTAAATATTTTTTAGAGAACTATCTGATGTTATTAAAGCTCATTTTCCCCATCACAAATTAACAATAAATCTGAAAGGCTTCTACCATCAAAAACGCCTTAGTTCTCACTCCCTATTTCCAAGCATTCTAAATTCATTTGAATTCTACATTTGTTTGAAAAGGGCATATTTAGAAATAAGGAAAAATGTACTGTCAGGTACCTATTTGTCAGCTGAGTTTTCAAAGTGTTTCTTCTACTCCATTCCTTAAACCTGTACTTCCCAAACAGTACATACAGGAAAAATGGATTGTCCTGGGAGGCTGGATGAGCAGTACTCAGTCCATTTATGGGCCAGATCCAGCCAGTGATCCCAGGCCAAGAACAGAGGGGCCCTATCCAGCTGATGGGGAGGGGGGGCAGCATATTCCTGATCCAGCAGCATAGGGGAAGGAAGCATGCCTTGGCCCTGTGGGGAGAACGGGCCATAACCCAGCACCAAGACAGCAGTACAGAAGGGCAGGGATGGTGGTGTGGCCCAGCTTGGACCCACCATGCAAGTTTTGAGGCCTGGCAACCAGGGAGGGTGACAGTATTATTTGCCACTGTTCCCCTGCTGCCAGATTTCCTGCAAGCCTGATGCCCTGGCTTTGTGAGCTGGATTTAGCCTGTGGGCCAGAGCCTGAGCAACCTTGGATTATAGCATAAAGGCAGGCCCCATAACTGTGAAATACTGGTATTAGGAAAGAAAGCAAGTGGTGGCTATAGCTTGAATTTATTAGCATCTCATTATTGGCTGGAAGAGAGCTTTTGGAAGAAGTATAGTTCAAGAGTAAACTTAAAAAAAAAGGAGAGGAGATACGATTAGGAATCACAGGAAAAAGAAGTTACTCTACTAAACTGGCAGGAGAAGGAAGAATATGTGCACTTCTAGTAAGAATGGTAGTAGTTTCCCATTCAAAATAATTAGAAGCAGAAAAATAAACAGGGATGAGGGCCAAATAACAGATAGCCAAGAAATGCAGCTTTGATATATTCCCCAGAGATTTGTTTATACTTTTTGCTTCCTGAAGGTGGAGCTAAATGCTCAGTTGAGGACTAAAGGAAGGACCGGAAAAGAAGAAAAAGACAGTTCTCAGCAACGCTGGGCAAAGTGAAGGACAGCAAGCACCTGGAGACAAGTAATCACCATTCACAAATATATTATTCTCTTTCTGTTTTTAGGGTCTGTTTAGAAGAGCTGGCTGACTGAACACTTGCATGACTACAGCCAGCTATTTATAGGCATCCACTACTCCAAAAAACACTTGAAATGGGCATTTTTGGAGAGACACCATAGCAGCACACATCTTTCTTCTCTGCCTTGTAAAATTTTTATCTATATCTATAGAGCGGGGCACTACTCCATTCATATGGAACATCTGCATATTCACACCACAACAGTGACAATAGATGAAATTTTCTAGCTAAAAACTCAGCACAATAACATATAAAAGTGACCTTGACTACATAGCACCTGCAGCACTGCCTCTCAGCAAGTTGCCTCCCAAGAAGCAAGGTGTTCAGTTGCCTGTACTGGGGAAGCAGAAGGTTTCGCAGCCTTTGGAGCTAAATTTTCTGAGCCACCTGCCATCCCCAAATTCTAGTTCAAACATCAGATCTATTTTGAGATTAATTCTTTACCAAATCTTCAGCTGACTTACAGTAATTTGCTACAGATTTGTGGACCTCTGAATACAGAGCAAGTACTCAGTTATAAGAACAAAAGCATCTCGGCAGCATTTAAAAAGGAAGTCTTTTAGAACTGGCAAGATCTATTCAATAGGCCCAGCAAATAAATGATGGTATTGAGATGATGCACTTGCTGTTTGCTTTTGTTTAGCCATCTCCCACCTTTGCCACTCAGCTGACAGTTTCTTGCAAGCATTCCAAGGCTTCTTGGTACTTCTTTGCATGAACAAACCAGCACAGCAGATACAATAGGGCAACTGAGGAGCATCATGTTATGCTGCACAGAGGTAATTGCTTTCACATCCACTTTACCTTCTAGCATATACACATATTCATGCTAGCCTACAATCCACTTTTTCAGGGCAGGTACCTTTTCGTGGCTTAGACTGCACTACAAGGCAGATTCAAGATGCATGCTTCATTGCTTCAGCTCCTATGAAGGCTTCTATGCTAGGCAGTGCATAAAGCTCAACTGAAGGGCTTTCTGCTTTCTCCTCCCCCTGAAAAAGAATCTAAAGGGCATTTATTTATACAGTCCTAGGACCTCAAAACCCTAATCTGGATAAGGACTCCCAGATCACTGCACACTACAAAGAGGATTCTAGCTCAAGTAAGCTTAGTTTAACATTTTATAAAAGACACAAGACTCTGCTGTCCCTAAAAACCTTCAATGGCAGCTGTGTCCTTTATAGAAAAAGGGTTCCTGACCATGAAGCTCTTGTGTGTACAGCAACTTGGGTCACTGGTATTGAACATGTTGGTTGACAATGGGGTACTCCAGCATAGGGTGTAACCAAGCAAGAACAAAGCATGTCTCACTGCTCTCCCTAGTAGTGTGACAATATAAACTGACAGAGATGGCACTCCTTTTGTCCTGGAGTTCTGTCCTACCAGGAAACTCTACATCTGGCCTTGCAAACCAGTATTCTTGCTGGATGGATCCAGAGTGGGTTATACTTTTTAAAAAGTAAGCTGCTCTAGCTAAAGAGGTACAGTGTATTTTTGTTACTCACTTTGCTTTTGGAAATGTGTGTTTTCTGTTTTTTCTTCTCCATTATAACCACAACAGGATCATGTTCAGTTCAAACCAGTTTCTCCTTTATTAGGTTCAAGTTCAAATCACATACATTGTGACTCAATAAAGGAAGAAGTAATTTCAAATAAGGTAATATTTTAACATCTGTCTCTCCAGGCAACTGTACAATCAGGTAGCATTAATAAAATGCACAGGCAACCCATCTGGAAAAGAACAGATAAAGGATTAGCTTGAGCAGGTCAATACTTTGGGAGCATTTTAACTGTTCTCAGGTAATTGCTTCACATTCTTTGTGTTCTCTCCAGAAAGATTTCATACAAATTCTTCAGGCCCAGAAATGTGGTCCTCATACTACCAGTCTCCTAGAACTCCAAGACACCTTTCCCCAGAAAAAGGTGTAAACTAGTTTTAAAATTGTTAAATTACTTCAGACTGAGGGGAACTGCAGGTTTGAGGCTTTGCATATATAAAAATGTAAAATATGTAACTGTCAACTTTACATCTAATCCCTTCAAAAACCTATTTCTAACTGACACACACTTACATGCATCACTGGAAGTTTCATTTGGAGCTTCATTTCAGGCTGTATCCAAGTTCACTGGCATGAACTTAATTTGTTATTCCAATGGGTCCCCAAATGGAACCCAAACGAAGACATGCGTAAGCAAGTTGTCAGCCAGGAATGAATTAATGTAAGAAAGTTTGTATAAGCCAGTGGTCAGCTTTTTTAGTACTGGATTTAGGAGCCCCTCCTGATTATATTTGAATGAGAAGGCAGCAGCTTTTTAGTTCAGCCCTAAAAAGAGATCCCTAGTTTTCAGTTTGGACTTAATAACATTCGGCTTATGGAACACTTGAACCCTGGCCACATTAGGGCACTCACTCATGGGCTATATTGTAAGCAAGGGGTTATCTGAACCATGGCTAAAACTCTGTAACTGCTAAAGGAAAAAACAATTATACTCAGTACTGGATGTATCCAAATCAAGCTTTATGAAAAGCATAAAACAGCATTCCTTCTGCCCTGGTACCTTCAGTATCACTGACCATTACCAAAAGAACAGTTTTGAAGCCTAAGGCAGACATATTTAGAGCATCCTCATCTATAAGAAGATTGAGCAAAATGAAAATAAAGGTGAAGGCTACTGTATTTCTGGATGGGATGAGCCTTCCATTTGGAGAAGTGTTGCTAACAGATTGTTGAGAAGCAAAAAAGTTCACATACTTCTGAGCTAGTACCATAACACCATACTGCCAAAACAAATTATTTAGAGATGCAGCTTGGAGAGAAGAGACGCACCATTATTAGCCCTTACAGAATCATGCAAATCAAGCAAGTAAGTAAAACATGTAGGGGGTTGAACACTATTGCCTCCTTTCAACCCTTTTCCTTTGCAACAACCCTTAATTTTCTTCAATTTAACTCCTCAGGTACCTCTCCACTATTTACCCAGCTACATTAATTCCCCTCCCCACCCCAACCTGTCTCTCACCCATTGACTCCTTAATTTACATTGTCAGTGATGGGCTTTCCTGCATGCATATCAGTTTCTGGCTTCTTTACTATTCATTCCATACAAGAAGAGCACACACCAACTGCAGATGCTTCCTCAGACTGATGAAGGGTGTTTGTGCCCAAAAGCTTGCAAAGAAGATTTTTTTTCCAACTATTTGAGTTGGTTTAATAAAATATATCAGATTTACCAAAATAACCTTGTCTACTTAATTTTCAAAGCATTTAGAAAGAGTTTAAGTTGTTTGGTTTTTTGATTCTTTTTAGTAGGAAGGGGAGAGGCGGGGGAATGTTGCCCAGTCTGGATGAACAGCCTCTAGTTGTAGAATCGAACTATTCTACAAAACTAGAAAATAAGAGTTGTCTGCATGCAAAGGTACATCCAAACACCATATAGTTTTTTAGAAGAAAATAAACAGCCTGAAAACATTAGTGGTGCTACCTAAAGCTTTCCAACTAGATCCAAGTTGACAGCTCAGATTTAAAACACTCTCAAGATTCTCAGAATGTCTTAATTGAAGGTGCACTTTTAGTACTGGATATTAGGCCTGTGCAAAGCAGCAAGTATTCGATTTGGATTTGGCCAATTTGAGGGACAGTGATTCAATTCAGTGATCAAATCACTGTCCCAATTCGATTCAGCTGATTCAGATTCAGAGATTCAGCCCTGAAATTGGCGACCAAAGCTTCAGACAGCCCTAACAGATAGGAATACATTCTCAGATGGTGACAGAGCAAGGGAGGGAGTGAAGCTAGGACTAGGTAAGGGGTGCCATTCCCAGGGCTGCACAGTGCTCCGCCTCTTCTCTCGTGCCTGGACTCTGTCTGTCCCCACTCACCACAGCTCCTGGGCTGCGCTGTGCCCTAGTGCAGGCAGCTGATGTCGGCTGCTCCCGGGGCTGCTGCAGCAGAGGCTGGGGGGAATGGCAGCAAGCGGAGCCCCGGGCAGTGTGGGACGTGGCACAGGTTGTTCGTGCTAACCCTAGACCCTGCTGCAGCAGCCCCAGGAGAAACTAGCACCGGCTGCAACCGGGGGGGGGGGCGCACTGCCATGCCTCTTGCTGCTCCGCACCTCCCCGGGAGGGCTGGGGGGCTGTGTCAGGCTCTTCCCAGGGGTGTGCGCCCCCAGATCTGTGCACAGGATGACAGCAGGCTGCCACTGCAGGCTGGCGGTGTTTCTGGTGCTCAGTGTGCCCACCCCGAGTGTCAGGAAGAGTCAGCCTGGGGCTCTGCTTACTGCCACTCCCCTCAGTCCCTACTACAACAGCCCCAAGAGCAACCAACACCAGCTGCCTACACCATGGCACAGCGCAGCCCAGGAGCTGGGGTGAGTGGGGAGAGGCAGAGCCCAGGCACGGGGGAACAGGTGAAGCACAGTGCAGCCCTGGGAACAGCACCCCTCCCCTTGCCCCTTCTCTAGTCCCAGCCTCACTCCTTCGGGAACCTATCCGTATTTGTTACATTATAAAGTGGGCTTACCTTATGCGAGGGAAACCTGTATAAGCCTATGGCAGAATCTCTGAATCGGCTCTGAATCTCTCCAAATCAATTTGGAGCCTTCCGATTCAATTCGGACCTCTTAATGAGTCTCCTGATTCGATTTGAATTTGGCAATTCGGCTGCTCAATCAGGCTGAATCTCCTCTAAAATGAATCAGCTACCAAAGCTTCACACAGCCCTACTGGATATCAGTGTGGCTCACAAACTCTTAGGAACTTTCTACTTAAACCATACTTGGATTAGTTTGACAAACCAATCTGACCCTCACAGCCCTTTTTATTTCTTTTCAGGCAAAGCACTCCAGTTTGGAATTGGACTTTCAAAATCTTCATGCAGTATAATTTTACAAAAGAGCCTTGTTCTTGAGTTAGGCAGTGTCTACAGCAGGGGTGGGCAAAATATGGTTCGTGGGCCGCATCTGGCCCACAGCAGGTCCCTCAGTCCCCTGGCCCAGTCCAGTGGGCATGCAGCAGGGCTGGGACAGCTCTGCAGCTGGATTACCCTGTGTCTCCGCTGCCTCCAGGCTGCTCCACGAGCAGCAGTGGCAGCACAGAGCAGACAGGTCAGCCTTGGGTAGCTGCAGCAGGGAACTGCCAGCAGCAGGAGGGGCAGGGACCACTTTTACCCCATGCTGAGCAACAGCTTTTGTCCTGCACTGCAGCTACTGAGTCTGGGCGAGTAAGCCTGGAGCAGGCACAGAGCGCATGGCTCTGCAACACAGGTCCTTGTCAGTACCACAGGCCTGGGGTGGGCAGCAGTGTGGGCCAGGAGCTGCCACTGCTCGTGCTGCCTAGAAAGGCAGTCCAGCTGCAGAGCCATCCCAATTCTAGAAAAATCTGGTGCCCCTTACCAATAAGATTTATGCTTTGTCCAAGCCCAGTTCCTCTGGAGTGGAGATTCCCAATTCGTTCAAAGTTGGTCTAAGTTCCTGGATAACATAAGGGTAGATTTCCTTGTGAGGTCCTGCCTTATCCTGAAAAATAAAATAAAGAGGTGTTAAAACAGCAGAAATATGGCCCAGCAAGGTCAGTGTTACACTAAACATTGGATAGCACTTGCCTGGCACTGTTTACCATATGCCCACTATAGCAGTGGTTCCCAACCTTTGTTATACCGTGGAGTGGCAAAAATATTTAAATTTACATATTTAGATTTAATTTTTCTGTGGGCGGGGGATTGCGAGGATCAGGTCTGGTTGGGGCACCGCAGCCACAGGCACCAGGGGACCCTGCAGAGAAGGGGGCTGCACAGGTGGTGGCCCAGGGGGACCCAGCTGGGGCTGCCTAGGAAGAAGGGGCTCTGCTGCCTTCCCTAACAGCAGTAGTGACATGTAGGGGGTGCATGTGCACCCCCTTAAAGGCCACACTCCCTGCTCAGGTGACAGGTACAGGAACGCCGGTACCCCCCATGCGAGTGCCGGCTGGGGAGTGGGAGCACCAGATGAAGCGCTGTGGCCACTTCCCTGCCCTCCACCCTGGGCACCAATTGCCCATACCTAGGACTAAGCAGCAAAGCCGCCTCCCTGCCCTCCACCCTGGGCATTTCCCCACCCATGTCCTCCCACTCCCAGTCACGGGCCACCCAGTTTTAACCCCACACATGACTGCTGGCAGCCCGGGCCTGGTGGTTGGGAACCTCTGCACTATAGTACCTACCTCTTATATAGTAGTCCATCTCCCATAAGATTAAAGGGCACTATACCAAAAACTAATATAGAGCAGGTCTCTTGAGATGGATGTTTCCACAGAAGTTACATAAAAGCCTGTTACCAATACACCACATCTACTAAGCTGGAGTTGAACAGCAGTCTTGAACAGAACAGCAGTTGAACTAATCCATCATAGTGAGGACTGGCTGGCATTTCTAAAATGTCAGTCTTCAGTACAAGGACTAAAGCTACAAGTTTGCTTTACTGGGGTGGGGGGAAGAAAGAGGAACATGTCCCCTACTCTATTCTGACGTGGTGGTCAAGAAAGTTTACCAATTTGTTCTGCTCTCTTCTAGCAAACCGAGTAAATGGTGGGAAGGAAAAAGTACAATTGTAAGATAGGGCATGTATACCTATGCTGCCATTCTCTTTCCTTCAGACAGCAAATTGAAACTAATCACATGATCCAAAGACAAAGCACATACTACCTTTGGTAGTGTCAGGAAACTGGGTTTCCACTAACTAAACGGTGAATAAAATATAGTGAAAAAGTAGAAGACTCATACATCTGTTTTAAAGACCTTCAATCAACATCAACATTTCCAGCTATCATACCCTACTCAGTAGTTTTCAACTTTTTTTCATTTGCAGACCCCCAAAAGATTTCCAAATGGAGGTGCAGACCCCTTTGGAAATTTCAGATAAAGGTGTGGATCCTTTCAATTGTAGCGTGGGTAGTCACATACTTTTGTTTGATCATAGTCATCTTTCACAGACCTATTAAGACAGTCTGCGGACCCCTAGAGGTCGCCAGACCACAGGTTAAAAACCACTGCCCTACATTGTTTCACTCACCTTTATAGCTTCTAAGATGCGGACTGCACTAGCAAAGTCATTTAACCGTCTGCACGCTCTCAACGCAGCATCAATGATTTTTGGTTCTGGAACCAGATCATAACTCACCAGTGTATTCATGCCTATTGAGATGAGACAAGGAAAACAGTCAGAGATTGTCCTAGGTAATTTGCACACTAAAGGGAGTGAAGGAGTGGGTAGCTTAGAAATTTTTGGATGAGTACTTTCAAAAAGCTCAGCTAAAACCATGTAAGCTACCTGGACCTACCTATCCTTTCCAAAATGCCAGTTACTATAGCATCCAACTACAGGAGTCAATTTCAAAATTCTCTCCCCCATAATTTCAGAACCTCCTCACCCCATTGGTTTTTTTCTTCAAGCAAAGAAATCAATAGTAAATCAGCTAGAAGAGCTGTGACAGAAAAATAGATTCTATCAATTACTGTCCACACTTCAGCTATGAAGCAAACCTCCAGAATTTACTTACATAGATATTTATTCATTAACCAACAACTGAGCTTGGTCACTCTCAACAAAATCCACCCTCAAGAAACTTACTATCAGCTGTTGGTGAAAAAAGGTCTCACATTTAAAACTAATTCTTAAATTAGAAAGAATCTAGACACTTAAGCAGCTAGTAAGCCTTTTGAATGCTAGCATCATGTTCATCAATAAGTAAACTAAAAGTGAAATCCAGGTCTTCTGCATCACTGAGCTTCAAGTGTTTTGCTACACAACAATCCAAGGCAGTACATTATCAACTGGACTTTGTACTACACACCAATTTTATCTCAGGAGCCCCAATGACCGCAAACCCTTGGCCAGCAGAATGTATGGAAGTCTCCACTTGATTCCTAGGTTCTTTTACCTCCTTAAATGTCAAGTACAGTAGTTCATGCCATTCCAGGTAGTTCTGAAGCATATAGAAGGTGCAGTTCCATACTATGGAACTAAGTTTCAGAGGATTTGTCAACAATCCCCTGAAAGTCACATCAGACCTTTTACTTTCTAGCCTAGCTGTAATATTTAGTGGTGCTACCATTCTAAGACACTAAGTTGTTCTCACATTACTCTATACCTGTAGTGGATTGGGGGCAGAAGGATTATCTAACATACCTTTCCTTAGCTCCCAGGCATCAATATCTGGTTTGTTGAAGTACGTTACCCAACGAGCATCAAATTCTTCATCTGATTCATGTGCCTCATGGGAGTAGCAGTGAGCAGGCAATACAGCTGTATTAGGAAGGAACACGGGAGGGTTAAACAAAATCTCGCTTTTCATTAAAAAAGAAAATTCAGGCCAGTAGACTGCAGCAGTTAAGTCATTTAGTCAGGGTACAGCCAATAATTACATAAGTTTGAGTCACTAGTTCAGTACAGTGCATTTAGAATAAAGTGTCATGTTTGATGGCAAGATGGTCTAAGTAAAGCCCTTTACAGAAAGGTGTTACTCTCATTTTGAAGGAGTGGACCTACAAAACATTCCTGAACTGGATTGAAAATGTATGCAAATACAACTCAAAAGCTTGCAAGACTAATTGAGGAACCAGGTTATTCAGACAAAGTAAAACAGGCTATCTTGCCATTGTTAGCCCTGTCCAATAAATTCCTTTTTTTTTTCTGTGCCCCTAAACAAATGAGTCCATTACAATATTTTTGTTCTTTTGCAGCAGAAGATGGTTTTATTTATAGCATGCAATTCATAACATTGTCAGCATCATCTAGGAAATCACAAGGATGTAAACCTAATAAAGCTACATCAGTTTATTTTCTGAAGTGGCAAGACTGGGGAAAGAGAAAGTAAATCAGATGCTTCTTGCCACTTTCAGGCTTAGGCTTGTCTATACAAGGAAACATAGAGTATGTATTTCAGAATACTATCGGTTTTGCAATAATACAGGAATGGGTAGACAAGTCTTGAAATTGCTCAATGATTGGTTTTGTAAGCCAAGGGAGGAAACATTTTCTAATTTCTAACAAAAATTCTTAAATGATTAGGTAACACAGGGGTTGGGGAGGACACAGAACAGGAAAGTTAGCAGATGACTCAGTAACAGCAGGACATAAACTTGTGTCTAGGTTATCAGCTTGGCAGTGGATGAAAGCTTACTTTCAGCCCGTGGCTGGCTGCTGGCCCATGTCTAGTGACTTAGTGGCATTTATCCTCTCCCAGGAAGACCTCTACAGACTCCAGAAGCCTCATTGAGACAAAACTACCTATCCCCAGGGAAGATAAAGCTTGGTCAATGAGGAAGTCTGATTCAATAAAGAAGTGGCATTACAGAATAGATTATACACAGAACTTCAGTCTTTAGGACTGCCATCCAGCATGAAGTTTACAATGAAACTTGAGTTTCTTGATAGGCTAAAAGAAGTAGGGTTCTTCAGTCTGGAGAAGAGAAGACTGAGGGGGGATTTGATAACAGTCTTCAAATACCTAAAAGGTGATTAGAGAGAAGATGGAGATGTACTTCTCTGTGGCCACATGGAACACTACTAAAAGCAATGGACTCAAGGTGCTAGTGCACCAGAGAAAATTTAGGTTGGAGAGTAAGACTATGAGGGTGGCTAAGTACTGGAACACGCTACCTAGACAACTTGTGAAATCTCCATCCCTAGAAATCTGCAATAGCAGGCTAGACAGACACATGGCTGGGATGGTTTAGTTAGGATGATTCTGCTTTAAGCAGAGGAGAGAGCTGGACTAAATGACCTTGTACAGTCCCTTCTAGCCCTATCTTCCTATGATCCTATGAAAATGTACTGGAATTTAAGATGAAGATAACATTCATAAAGTCATAACTTTGTTCTCTCCCTTAATGCTATTTTACCAATTGTGTCTTTGGACCACTAACTAAAAGGATTCACGAGGGACAGTGGTTTTAATGCCCCAAAACTTGTCCAACATCCATCACAATTATCCAATTTGTCCAGTACAAGTTATCACAAAACCCTCTCGCTTCTTGTACATTTCTTTCACCACCACAGCTACAACAATTCAACCCCAAAAGAATGAACATTTTTTTTGGCAGACGCCAAACCTGTAGGACAAAATTTTAGCGGCTGCACAGAACTCAATTAGGTCTCTCTCATGCAATGCAAGTACATTCCCAGCTACCCCACCCACAGATTATGTAGTTGGCTGCAAATATTTCCCTCCCACAGCTTTCAATATTACATTCCTTCCACTATCTGTACTGCCAGAAGAGGAACCCCCCCCAAATAACTGCACTCATGAATCTGCCTACCTAGCTAACTCAAGAACTAGGGATGTAACTAGTTAAATGACAGTTGTATTTATACCATTTACTGCTTAGTGACCTCCAGCAGAAATGGCCCTGGCCCCAGCCTCTTATGTTCACTGTGCAGCCGGTGCTGTGCAGGCCCCAGACCACTGATGGGGAGCCACAGACAAGGTGCTGCCCAGCTTCAAGGCTGCAGCTTCCCCTTGCCCCACAGGCAGGGGCTGGGGCTACCAATCACTTCTGTGCCCAGATCTCACCACCATGGAAAGGGAGGCATGGAGGGAGGGAAGGAAGGAGGTGCTAGACCACCCTGCAGGAGTCAGGTGGGGCCTTCCTGCTGCAGCAGCAAGACTCCTGGGCCCTGCGGTGGGTCTGTCCAGCTCCCCTGCAGTGGCAGGCCCTGGGCAGGGCAACAGGCATATTGCATCCTTTCCCTTCCCACCCATGGTGCTGGGGCTGCACGGGGCCTGATCAAGCGGGCAGCTGGCTCGGCCCGAGGTGGCAAGCAGAGGACACTGGGTCTGATGGGTAACTGCCAGGCCCTCACATAGTAAGCGCAGCCCCAGGGTACTCAGCAGCAGTGGCCTGGGAGTCTGCTGTTGCAGCGCTAATGCTCCCCCCACCCCATCCCTACTGTACCACCATTCAGGAATGCTCTAGGGCTGCAATCACAGTGTGAGGGGCTGATCACAACCCCTCAGACTTGGTGCTGCTTGGTCCAGCTGTGGCAGCACCTCTTTGGGCCAAGCTAGCCTCACTCTCAGCCTCGCCTCATGGCTCAGACAGGTGCTGCATGGCTCCAGCACCACAATCAGGAGGGGTAAAGGATACAGCGCACTCGGTGGAGGCCACATTGCTGGGACCAGCTCCCCACATCCTCTGTGGTGAGTTAGGAAGGGCCCAGCCTGGCAGTGCAGAAGAGCCTTCCAGGTCTAAGTTGCAGTAGCACAAGTGTGGTGGGAGGCGCAGGAAGCTCATAACCCATTGTCACTGCCGTTCACTGCAGTGAAGGGTACGAGACCTTTAGAGGCCCGTCAGGCGGGTACTTGTGACGCTAGGAGTGGAATTAGGCACAGGACGCTTATCGGTTGCAAAGCAAGATTATTTACTTACTCCATCAAGGTGGTGAAAGACGGAGGTTAAAGATACTTGGTTAGTTACAGCTTAGGGTTCGTAGGTCAGTCTGCATAAGTAGATCAGTTCGCAAAACTGGTCGGGCAGAATTGTCGGGTCGGGGTCGTCGATTACGTCTGAGAAGGTCGAAGACCTGCGGGGGGGACCACGACGAACTGGCAAGTGATCAAATTGCCGGTTTTCTCTAACACCTATGTCAGAGGTCTCCAGGTATATACGGAGTCGCTCTTCCCCCACTACGCGGAAATGCAGCGGGGTTTTGTTTGTGTACTAGCCAATTGCTTTTCGCCACGTCATAAATTTAATTAGAATCACCAATTATTATAGAGGTTTTTCACTAGGTGTTATCACAGGGTCACTCCTTGTTTTCTTTGACCAATTATAATGATTTATGTACAGCACAGAAGGCTAAGTTTCATTTCTAGTTAGTGTCGCAGTTATAAATCCCTTTTTGACATGTGCAGCAAAAACTGTTACTATCTTTTTTGTTAACCCTTAGTTAACCTAGTGCAGACTAAAACTGGTTTTGATTAACATATTTCTTGCTTGTGGCATGGGCAGTACTTAATTGGGTTGTGACACCCATCACCCTGGGATCACAGTGAAAAAATAAGGGGCTGGGGCCGTTCCTCCTTGAGGTCACTAAACTAGGTATTGTGCTATGGGTTAACCATTTAACCAATATAATTAGAGGTGGTCAAATGGATTTTTTTTTTTTTACCACAATATTTACATGCCTACCAAGAACAGGCAGAAAACAGCTAGCAGTTGAGACTGGTCCCTTCTTAAGATTACTTTATTAATAACACTAACCAAAGTTGTATCAAAATCCCTGGAGAAGCAGATACATCTTATTCTAGGTGTATGACCAACTACTTACTATGAAGCCACCACTACATGTTACAACTATCACACAATTAACTGGTTAACTGTGCAGTTACCTTCATGGCGCTATAACACCATACATAGCTCCAAGCAGCTATAAAGTTAGACCTAAAAAATGTGTACTAACTTTATACCTGGTTGCTATCAAGCTTTAATTTGCACACATACAAGGGTCTCCCCTGCAGCTGGAAGCCCCAGCAGTTGATGGGGCTCCCAGTAATAGTGGTGAACCATGCCTAGCCAGGGCTGGGAATCCCACAACTGAGGGAATTCAGCCCCAGCAACAGCCCACTCTGGGACCCAACAGCACAGAGAACTCAAGTCCTGCAGCTGTAGATCCTGGGTAACGGGGTCCAGCTGGGTCCTAGCAGCCAGAGGGGCATGGCTGCCCTGGGGGTGTATGAAAGCCATAGGGTTGAGGGATAAAGTTGCAGCAGCTGCAATCCCTGGGGGATTGTGGCAGCTGTGAACCCCCAGCCCCAGGGGTGTGTGGGGAACCCCCACAGCTGAGAGTCTCTCAAACAAGGGGGTCCCAGCTACAGGAGCTTAATTTTTGCCTAAGCAGGTGGAGCCCAGGATCAGGCTCCCCCTGCACTGGCAGTAAGGCACAATGCAATCGAATGTGCAATCCCACAATCATGCCTCCTGCATGCACATATGGCATGGCAGAAGGCACAACTGTATGGATCATGCATTAGATCCCATCATGCCTTTACCTACACATGCAGAGGACACCTAAGCATTGCATGTATTTTAGATAGCACAATGGACTAACCAAATTCTTTTGTTTTAAAGTTACGTTGGCATGTGGTTTGGCCTCAAAAAGCATGACAGTAATCCCAAGTATGATTTTCCTTCAATACATATACACTAAATGAAATTCTGGTTAGAATATCATTTTAACCTTTCACAATGTATGATTATGAGGAACATTTTAAGATAATATGGCCACCACACACAGCTTCAGGGATTTGCACACTCCAGGGACTCAGAGGACTCCCTCCACCATACCCCCAACACTCCCCACACACACCTCCCCAACTCACCCACACCCTCCCACAGCCCTCAAACACATCCTTATCCTCCACGATACCCACACACTCCACCCTAACCACAAACCCCACACCCCTCCACACCCACCGTACCCCCATGCGCACACACAATATACAAGAGTAAGACTATTTTGAGCTATTATGACAATCGCCTCTAGATGCATATAATCAGGACAAAATATTTGTTTAAATAACATTTAAATAAGTTATAGTAGATGTTCAATTTTTTTAGTATATCATTTTTTTTCTGGTTTCAAGATGCAACCACCCCTCCCAAAAGTACTCCTGGGACGAGGGGCAGGGAAAGCAATTATTTTGAGCCACTTACCGAGTTTTGACAAGCTGTCGAGAGCCACATGGGTAGCCCCACTCCTTGAGAGCTGCCCCACCCCCGGTCTCCATCTTGGAACTGAAAGTCCCACCCCCTAACCCCTGAACTTTGCCATGAGACGTCCCTCTCCTTACCCCTGGAAATACTACTTTCAGCAAGGGGTTATGCCATCTCGGAACCAGAAAAATACCAAATTATATTCTAAAAAGCAAACATCTAAAAAATTCATTAATTTGATTGCAAGAAATATTTTTGCCCTGGTTTACATACGTTTGTGTAGTGTACATAGAGGTGATCGCACAATAGCTTAATGTGACATCTTACGCTTTTATATTGCGGGTTGGGTATAAGGTTGGAGGGACAGTGGCGGGGGGCACATGGGGGGGTGTGTGTGTGTGTGGATATGTGGGGGGGGGAAGGGTGGCTGCTGTGTGTGAGGGGGTGTGGAGGCCTGAATGTATGTCAGAGCAGGGGGGAGTGGGTGCATGTGTATGGTGGGGTGCGCGTGTGGGACTTGCCCTACACGCGTGCGCACATGCACTCTGCCCCTGCCTGCACACGCACACCCCCGTACCAGCAGGGGCCATGCTCCCCAGTCCAGTCATGCAGCTGGGAGCCACACGGTGCTCCAGTGGTGCTGGACCAGGGCAGGAAGCAGGGAAATGGCTGGGGGTGGGTGGGACTGGGCTCCTGCCTCGTGCTCCCAGGTCCCCCTCGGTCCTACTGCCTCTGGCTCCTATCATCTTTGACAGGAAGCGAGGAACAGATAAATATTTTCTAAATTTTTAGGGGTCCTGTGGGCTGGATAGAATGGCCTGTTATTTTGCCTGCCCTTGGGTTAGGGGGTAGGACATCTGGTCCCAAGATGGCGGCCAGGGGTAAGGTACATGGCGAGGGGCAGGGCTACCATTGCAGCCCTTGACAGCTCACCAAAATTCATTAAGCAGCCCTCCAGCCAAAATAATTGCCCAACCCTGAGGCGCTGGCTCTTCTGGGCACGTGCCGAATTTCAAATAAAGTGTCGGTTTATTTGGTTTTGTAAATGTTTGCAAGCAGCCCTAGTGAACAAGACCAACATGATAACATTGATTTAATTTATGTCATCGTTAACTGAGTGTTTCTTACATGCAGGAGTGTTAACACTAGAGCCAACATTTGAAAAAGTAAGAAGCAAAACCGGAATAATATTTATCTCAATGAGAAAAAGGAAGGGGAAAGAGATCAACCAGCCCAAGTCTATGAAATTAATTCCTACAAGAACTAAAGACCATCACCACCTCACCATCTTTCACGCCAAGGGCAAGGTGCAGTTCTGTGGCTCTGCCTTCGACACACCCCACACTCTCTCTAAACAATTCCAGAACAGAACAAGCCACTGCACACTCTTGCCTGCCAAGACACTCATGAGAAAAATCACAAAGACAGATAGTAGTTATGTTGCTTTCTGCTGCACTGCTGGAATGCACCCAGGTACTACAGTGACATGCAGGGTAGAAAAAATGGGTATAGGCGAGAGGAACACACACACCTAGACAAAACTTACTCTTAATGCCAGTGTTCGTGTTACAAAGGCCAAAGATTTTTTTTTAAATATTTTTTTTAAGAAATGCAACAAAATATTCCCATTGCATCACACTGCGTTTGTGACTGCATATTTAGGGACAAGAAATTAAAAAGCATTACTTCAACAGATACCCTTAGAGTTTAAAAGTAAAGAACTTGAACTCAGGGCTTCAAGAAAATATTACCTCAGCTGCCAACATATGGTCTTGCAGGCTACCTTTGTTTACTAACAGGCAGAAATGAAGAATATTTACCGGCCTCGTATGGATGGTATACTGGAGAACTGAGGAACATTTGTAAAATATTAAACTCAGCAGAAGTGCAATATGAACACTAGAGACAATTCTGTGATTATCTGAAAGCAAATGGAGCCACTCAGACTGTCTTCCTCATCTTTCATTGTATTTAATGGCCCACTCTCTGCTACCTCCAAGCTGAGTCAGAATATGTGAGAGAAGCAAGGATAAGTGGGCAGGTGCAACTTGCTGGGGACTTCACAGAATTCAAGAAATAGCTCCTTGCTCCAGAGAGCTCAATAATCTAAGTAATGAATCTGACAGAAAATCATAATTGCAGAACACAAAAGGGTGAGGACAGGAATATGAATTTACATTCACAGTTTAAGACATACCTGTATTTGGGCAATACAATGTTTTGCCTACAGAGTGTTTCAAAGACCACTGCAAAACTGAATGAGGTAAGACTGGGGTTTCAGAAGAGTTTCAAAAGGACACTTCAAGACAGGGCAGCAGAGAAAGGAGACCGCATGGCTACGGTAACTGAGATCATTGAAATACAAACTGAAGAAGCACAGAAGGCAAGTGGTATAGGAAAGCAAGCAGGGGACGTGCAATGCTGGAACTCAAAAGCAAGAACAAAGAGCTTATCGGAATAATGCAATAAATAAGTCCATAGCAAGATACACACAAAAAATAAGTACAGTGAGAAGGAGATTCAGCAAAACATTTTATCACAAGGTGTTTCCTGGAACCTTCAACCATGATTTAAATAAAGAGTTCTAGGAGCTGGACAGACCACTTCAGCGCACAGATAGGAAGGAAGCAGTAACAGCTTCCTTTCCCACTTTTGTTTTCTTTTTGAAAGAGATGAAGATCACTCCCCGCAGCAATCACTCTGCATTGGAGGAACTGTACAGATACAAAATGGAATTTGTATGTGGTACATTCTTTCAGTTACCAGGTTTGGAGGCCTATTAAGTCATTTAACCTTTGGTAACTCCCCATTGTTCTGGACAGGCAAAATTGCCTTTGATCTTTATGACCAGGAAGAGGCTCATGGCCCAGGGCTACCAGCACTTGTGTGTTTCTGTCACTGCCTGAGTTTTGGGTCCCCCTTTGGTTTCGAGGCAGGTGCACAACAAATGAGAAGGTACATTTTCCCATGAGCGCAAGAAACCAGGAAGGCCACTTGATACAAATCAGGATTAGGGGGCCTTTCTATGAGAACCTGCCACGGTGGCTGGTGGGACAGGTGACCATCTTCACACTGGAGCCACTGTGGCCGTTCCCAGGGGAGGGTAGGAGAGGGAGGCACAAGGCAGCAGGCAGGGGAAAACCAGGCAGCAGACACAGGGCAGAGGTGCCCGAGCCACCAGGCTGCTACAGCCCCGGGGCCCTGCAGGGAGGGCAGCCTGACTTCTGCTCCCGCTCCCCTTCGCCGGCATGGCCCAGCTCCGCTCAATGTCACCTTCCTGCTGGAGGCCTCCGATACCACAGCAGAGCAGGGCCCGCCCCAGCCCTAGCACCAGCTGCAGCAACCCCAGGTCGGAACCTGCGACCCGGGCGCGGCCCACGCCCCATAACCTTGATGGGGCAGGTGCAGCGGCCGGGCCCGGAGCTCGCACCGCAGCGGCGGCCGAGACCCGGCGGGGGTGGAG